CATTACATACCGAATGTGTGTCTCGTCGTGTGCCATCACTGTAAGGGATTAGAGTATACTAAACTTTACACATTATATAGGCTACACTAACGTTACGTTAAGGCAGTTCGTTTAACTATTATACGTGATGTACGTTTTTTGGGTGGTTGTTAATGAAAGTGTTCCGAAACCTGACATAAATTTATTGGCGACCTAATAGTTATATAGCTGTTTTGTTTTTCTTGTGCATTTCAAATACTATATTTTTAATTTCATATCATATTATAAATTACATAGAACATATAACTTTATAAGCAATCTTTAACTTATGTCTACTTTTTACCGTGTAAAATATGAAGTGACTCCTTAAATTCTCTTTTTGGGCTACGTATCTGTATTACCGTGGTTCGCGTCTCGTTGCTGCCAAAACGTACTTCGAACTTTGGGTCTGTGTTACAAGAATGACGACCAACTCCCACTATTCGATTAGAGCAGCCCAATAGTTGGAGATTTTTATTAATTGCCTTTCCCTCTAATATTTCACATCAAAATTAGACGGCTAGCGCACATTGTCCTTGTCTAATTTTGCCCAAACTTCCTAAACACAAAAATGCACATTAAGTGATCCAATACTAGTATGTTTCAAAATCCGTACAAAAGCGACTATAAGGAAGTAGATGTATGCTTGTAAGTTAATATTTAGTTTTTATGTAATTTGCAGTTTTCTGCAGCTGATTGAAATTTAAAACTTACTGTAATATATATAAATATTACATTCTTTTACTAGGCCTTGATCCACGTGTCTACAGCCTATAGCAACTGTAACCGACAAGAAATAGACGAGACTGTCTACATAGAGCATGTTTCTCCTGCAAGTGTTATAGAAGCTACTCAGTAAGCAACAATAATTCACATTCTGTTCAAGTCAGTCAGTGTTAAAGGTGTAACACAAGAAGAATGTATGCGTGTGCTACTAGTAACTATTGTATTGATGAGGAAGAAGGTGCTTGTGTCACTACACCGAATTAAGACGGCAGTTACCTCTTTTGACCCTAATCTAGAAATGTCTTATATGAGTGAGGGGCAATCAATGTACCGCGTGTATTGACGTAACATTAACTGTTTTGTTATCCAGTACTAAAAGCCAAAACCTTGGCCATAAACCTCAAATGTATCTCATTTTCAAGGTTATATGAAGGACAATCCATGTCCCAAGAACGTAACCCCACAAAATTATCATGATATTTGCCCAGTTGATATTGGATGACTTTTTTTTTTCTTAAACAAATGGATAATTGAAGTGCTTTTATCTTTTGTAAGCCCTCCAAGTTCCCTGTATTAGCTGTTGATGTTTTTTTTGCGGTCTAATCAGTTGTATATATATTGTTTTCATTTCGTTGATTTTATTTCGAGTTCTATACTTCATTCAGACGTAGTAATATTTCAAGTTTGTAGCTCACTCATATGTGGCTATGTCTATTACGTTGCTTTCTTTGAAATTCTTCTTATTTTAGGTGGATGTCAGACAGTCTACTGGACACCATAACCCCTCATCTCCTCAATGGTAGACCATGTAGTTACCATTATACCAAAGCCTTGGCTGAGAACTTGTTGGTGGAAGAAGGCCTTGGGCTGCCGATCGCCATTGTTCGGCCTTCCATTATCACAGCCTCTTGGAAAGATCCTATTCCAGTAAGTAAACCTTAATGAAGTAACCTTGAACGTCTTCTGTCTCATTATAAAAGATTGGTGGGATTTGTTTCACCCCTTAGTTACAAAAAAGGCATTCTGAGTAAGTGTGTAAGATAAGTCTATATTTTGATCATCCTAAATCCTCTAGTAAAATGGAGATAAGACAAAATGGACGTCCTTCAAACGGAATGCATGATTCATAACAACCATATCATTTGACCTATTTACTGTTGTGGCATTTATTCCATTGTAAAAGGTGGCATATAGGATCTCTCGGGGCGTGGAATAGAGAGGATAGTATTTGAACGCCGACCCCATGGCTCTTCTCAGGGTACCCCAATGATGCATCCATGTTTGGTTGCCTTTGATCAAAAAAGTAAAGGCAGACAGATAGGGGCCCCACAGGGAGCGAAATGGGAGTCAGATCCGAATTTCATCTGTCTATGCTACCCACAAGAGAGCCTAAGGGTGTCTTCAAAATGTGGAACAGGTCAATAGAATAGTATTTAGAACACATAGAGAACTCGGGAATCACGTTGGATCACATCCAAACACCAACGCTTGCTAGTTCCTTTGAAGGGGCTAAGAGTACGTCCATGTTTGGTTGATATTTATGTAAAACTATATGCGTGAAAAGTAAACACATAGACAATGATACCCCAGGGTCACTTGAAAAAAAGATAGAAGCATCACTCTTCCTACGACACTCGCCAGGGGACTCTAGGACCACGTGTTAAGAATGGTTGAAATCAATCAAAAGACATTTCCACTTTATATGTATCTAGATTATAAAATTTTTTATCTTTCTGTCTTACTGTTCTTAAGAATTACTAGTTATTTTTCTGTCAGCATTCACCATTATTCTTGCACTATTTTCTATTGCTTTACTGATATATGGTGTATTTGGAGAATGAAAGAGGGAGCTTATGTTGTATGCAAATAGTATATATCTAGCTGTCCTATAATATATAATTCATAGCTAAAAAGGTTTAAACGAACTACTTGCAGTAGTAATGTTTGTTAAGCACCTTTGGCATTATTTATGTGGTCATGAATTGTCTATTCAAGTAGACCATTTATTGTTAAAATGGCTAATGACCGTTAGAGAACCGAAAGATCATAGATTAGATCCCAGTATTTGCAGTAAACACCAACTGGTCTGACAGCATGAAAATATGGACAGGTTTTTTACAAAAAGTGAGTACTTTTTTTCATTTCTAGAATGTCTGGATTTGGTGCAGAATGCTACCTTAAAACTCAAAGTCTCAGCTATGACAATAAACCAAGCATTTAATGTAGATTCCACCGAAATGAGCCTAAAATGAAAGAAGAGCTGTAAAAAGAATAATTGAATCGTTCAGACTTAGTCTTGGAATTCCTACCGTCCAGTAAGGCAAAGTGCACACATCTATAAACATATTTCAGAAACATACAACCATTGGCAATTGATTGATCAAATAGAGGTACAGGAGGGAATCTATAATGTTGCTACAACTCGTATAAACATGGTGATCTATCTTTCATGCAGTATAAACACGGTGCTCTATCTTTGATGCAGTTGATAGCTCTGAGAGCCGAGATTCTACAAACATTACACAATATAAATATCGGGGGACACCAGGGAGCTTCCCACACTACAGCTAACTTTCAGAGATGATTGTACTAGTCACATTCCCACAATGATACTGAATGATGGTGTAAGCACCTCATAGACTGAATCTGTACCATAGAAGAAACTCCATCTCTGAGTCATGGGTTTTCCATGGCAAAAGATAGCCCTGAATACTGTCAGACCTCTCCCTGAAATTGGCCCTAGTAATCGTTACATCCTCTTGATAGTTGATTACTTCATTAATTAGACTGATGCATGTATATTGACTGCTACGTTAGCTCAAACATTCAAGACGTATTGGCTGAACTGCGAATAGCTCACTTCGGAGCCCCAGAAGAGATCCAAACTGACTAATCATCAAAATTTAACAATCTGCTGTTGCTGAATTGTGTAAGGTAGTGTGTGTGGTGAAAACTCGCATTTCATCTTATTTTCCTCAGTCCAACGGACTGACTTAATGGTTCAGCCTAACTGTAAAGCATATTAATTCTAAGTCTGAAGCTTATCATAACTGTAAACCATATGCATTCTAAGTCTGAAGCTTATCCTAATTGTAAAGCATGTATACTCTAAGTTTGGAACTTAGATAGAACCTATCATATATAACGGTGGTGTACCATGCAATAGAGTAACTGGCTGTTCTCCAAATATGCTAACGTTCACGTGTAAACAGTAGATCTCATGTATTGCCCAAGACCGGCTGGGGAATTGTCATAATATCTGCAAGAATAAGTGGAGTGGTTGCAATTCTTGTTAACTGACATGCACAAGTTCAAACATCAATAGATGGGAAAGTGGGTTAAAAGACAGAAGAGAATGTACTAAAAGCGATGAAAGAACACCAAATTTGAACAAGGAGATTGAGTTTGGCCCTGGTATACTCCAGGATCACAATAACCACTCAGGTCCAACTTTTGGTCACCTCAATCAACCAAACTAAGATATATAACATTCGCATGACACGTGAACGTGCATTGGACCCGCTAATAAGCTGATATTGTACGCTACTGATGAGCATCTGCGACTCTGGCTTGACCAGTAGATGGAGTTTTAACGACATCCAGAACACTGTTCCTGTTGAAACATATAAGTTGTTGTTGATGCGACAAACAACTACAGCTGGGCACTAGGCTTCAGAATTGTTTTACGTATTTAACAATAAGTTACACTATTATATCTTTCTCTATTGTTGCAATGACATTATACCTCTGTTTATGGTGAAACACTACTATGACAGAAGAGTGAAGTTACGATGTTTGTCGTATCAGTGTTGCCCCCCTCCCCTGTATCATATATATTTATATGTTTTAGCTTAGTATTACTTTCTATATTTCGTATGTAATCCAATAACCCGATTATTATTTTTTTCAGGGCTGGGTAGACAACTTAAACGGTACCTCAGGATTTATAGTTGCGGTAAGTAAGTTTGAAATACTAAAAAGTAAAACATAACTCAAAACATCATACATATAATATACACTCCACCAATGTATGAAAACTAGTCTCGTTATTTCGATTTGTGCTTGTACCAGGTTACTGATGAGGGATGGGATTCCTCGAAACCGTTATAACTCAGTAACAAGTGGTTAACCGAATGGTAGATTGGGTCCCACATTTGTTTGTAGTATTTTAAACACGTTGTCGGGTGAATAGTTCACAAGAATAAATTAGTATCATCAATGTTACTTATTCTGGAAATCTATTATAAATATACTATAGGTTCACATGGTAAGTAAAACACTATACATATAATGTACCATTTTACTAGTACGAAAATAATAAACATATAAAATGATGTTAGAAAAACCAAGAAGTAAAACTTGCTTTAGTAACTTTTTATGTAGTCTAACCGGACTCGAAGGGTTTATAAAAAAATATCTAATTATAGACTTGATGTTGAAAATCGCTTCTCAACTGACAAAACATTTTCGTTTTAATTAATCATCGTCTGAAATTATCGGATCTTTTGTAAAATGTTTAATCTTTAAAAAGGCATATTATAATAAATAATATTTTTACAGTAAACACGACGTCATAAACATTCAACCTTCTTTAAAATGTAGCAGTAATTGTAAATATTGTTTATACAAATATACCGTTCTTTTTTCAGTAATTGTAAATATTGTTTATACAAATATACCGTTATTTTTTCAGTAATTGTAAATATTGTTTATACAAATATACCGTTCTTTTTTCAGTAATTGTAAATATTGTTTATACAAATATACCGTTCTTTTTTCAGTAATTGTAAATATTGTTTATACAAATATACCGTTCTTTTTTCAGTCTGCTTTTAATGTACTGTTAGAATTCGTAAGATAAGCTGACTTCGTCAATAATGTTTACAAATAGATGTTAACCCACATTAAGTGTATAACATGACAGTCATAAGATCGCACACTCTTACTGGTAGACTTACTCATTGACTTTTAAGTCACAGGTTGACTGGTTTTGTCGTGAAAAGGAACAGGAAGTTTCTAAAATCTTTTGTTGTCTGTTTGTTATGAATTTCGCGCAAAGCTACACGAGGGCTATCTGCGCTAGCCGTCCCTAATTTAGCAGTGTAAGACTGGAGGGAAGGCAGCATCACCCATCGCCAACTCTTTGGCTACTCTTTTACCAACGAATAGTGGGATTGACCGCCACATTATAACGCCCCCACGGCTGCAAGGGTGAGCATGTTTGGTGTGACGGGGATTCGAACCCGTGACCCGCATATTGCGAGTCGAGCGCCCTAATCACCTGGCCATGCTGGGCCACTTTTATTGTCACGTAAAGGCATCTGACATTATGAAATTACTGATTCTAGATTTGCCAGAATAAATGCCCTCCAGTGGCACAGCGGTATGTCCACAGACTTACAACGCTAGAAGCTTGGTTTCGATACCCGTGGTGGGCAGAGCACAAATATCCCATGGTGTAGTTTTGTGCTTAACTTCAGACAAACATACAAACTTACCAGCTAAATTCTTCTTACTATATATATATAATCATAGGCATACGAGGCGGGAAGGCGGCAGTCCCCCTAGCTTCAATACATACGGCCATTCAGGCAAATTTTCATTCGAGCAAAATTAGAAGAAGAAAATATAACCTCATTCGGACAAAAATTGTACACACCCCGTCTGAAAAATCCCCCGTATGCCTATGTATATAACATTAAATGGGTAAAATTAAATTTTCTGAATTGATCAAAATTATTACTTCAAGTTGAGCTTTAGTCAACTGTTATTTACCACCAAGTCGAATCTATTTTTAGTTGTGGATTTTGGCATAACACATATGTTTAGAATCAATCATAGCTAAATTGGTTCTAGCTTTACAGGTAGAATTAGCACTTTTTTAATTACCTTTTGATAATAGAGTTTGTAATATGAAACACATTAGATAATATAATTATTGTTGATGTTCCAATTAAAAATACAACAAACAACTTCATTAGAAAACAAAAAATGCTCAGCGTATTTATTTAACACTTGAAACTATTCAGGGTCATGACACAAAACTTTGACCCTACCAGATCAAGTACACTTTGGTGCATTGTTAACAAAGTGTAATATCTTGCAGAATATATGAAATTATAATTTTACTAATTTAATAATCATTTCTTGAACACAAGGAGCAAGTTAATCTTAACACAGACCGGTTAACCCTATGACAACCGATAAACGTTGTTATGTTAATATAATATAATTTCGGTTTATTCTAATTTTATATCGTTATTTTTGAAAAGCAGTCATAAAAAATGAACAAACAGTACGTATTTTAACTTTAAAAGACATAACTGCTATGACGATTCACTATTTATTTTCAAAAAATAATCCCAGACTGGTAAAGGAATTCTACGAACGATGATGGTGCAGCGTAGTATAGGAGCTGACGTCATTCCAGTGGATACAGTGGTCAACATGATGATATGTGTAGCCTGGCAGATGAAAATAGAAAGGTCAGTATTTTATGTGGCAAAAAAATATGGTTTGGTTTGTTCTGAATTTCGCGCAAAGCTACTCGAGGACTATATGCGCTAGCCATCCCTAAGTTAACAGTGATAGATTAAGGGAAAGGCAGCTAGTCAACACCACCCACTGCTAACTCTTGAGCTACTCTTTTACCAACGAATAGCGGAATTGACAGTCACATTATAACGCCTTCCGGCTGAAATGGAGTGCTTATTCAGTGACCGGGATTTGAACCCGCGACCTAACCATCAGGCCATGTCAGGCTTCTGTGGTAACTGTGATAATATCTACAGATATAAATACAAAAGTCAGTATTTTATGTGATCATTGGAAAAGTATCTTTCATTTAGCAAATATAAATAAAAAAGTTAATATTTTATTTCTTGTGTGTAATAATGTCTGTTATTTAGCATGTAGAAATACAAGGTTCGATATTTTATTTTGTCAATAGGATAATATTGGTTATTTAGCAGTCAGAAATACATAGGTCATTACTTTGTGTAATAAATATGATAATATCTGTCATTTAGCGAGCAGAAATACAAAAGTCAGTATTTTATGTGGTCAGTATTATGATATTTGTAGAATAGCACATAATAAAATAAAAGTCAGCAGAGAACATGTGTAATTTTGCAATTATGTTGATTAGGTGTTACACGTTTCATAAGTAATCATAGTCACATAGTTTGTCACTGCTGTCCACTATTATAGTAAATTAAAGTAGCTGAAGCCTAATTTTGTGATTATTCGTCTGTCATGATATCTGTAGCCAGAAAATAAAGGTTAATATATAATGTGGTCTGCAATGATGTATATGGCCTGACAGAAAATAAAGGTTAGTATTTAATGTGGTCTACAATGATATATATATGTATATGGCCTGGCAGAAAATAAAGGTTAGTGTTTAATGTGGTCTACAATGATATATATATGTATATGGCCTGGCAGAAAATAAAGGTTAGTATTTAATGTGGTCTACAATGATATATATGGCCTGACAGAAAATAAAGGTTACTGTTTAATGTGGTCTACAATGATATATATATGTATATGGCCTGGCAGAAAATAAAGGTTAGTGTTTAATGTGGTCTACAATGATATATATATGTATATGACCTGGCAGAAAATAAAGGTTAATATTTAATGTGGTCTGCAATGATATATATATGGTCTGACAGAAAATAAACGTTAGTATTTAATGTGGTCTATAATGATATATATGACCTGACAGAAAATAAAGGTTAATATTTAATGTGGTCTACAATGATATATATGGCCTGGCAGAAAATAAAAGTTAATATTTAATGTGGTATAAAATGATATATATGGCATGACAGAAAATAAATGTCAGTACTAAGATTCATTGGTTCTAGTTGTTAAGCTTCCCTTTAGAAGATTAATACTTCTATATTACCCTATAAACGGTCTAGCCTACAATTCCTCCATATAGCGTCCAAAATGACAATTACGTTAGGCACATAGATAATTTAAATGTTTGCATCGAAGAACGCCAAATTGAAGAACAGTGTTTTTGTTTCCAATATCAACAACATCTGCAATGATAGAGAGCAAGTGAATGTTCAGATATTTCTGAAATTACTTAAAGCTGTCAATCACCGCAATATCCAGTATATTCGCGTATTTATATTAATATGCTGATATTCTTTAAATTATTTTGTTTTTTATTGTGTTATTACAGAGACTTCTAGAGATCATAATGTGCTTGAGTTTTTTCTTTCGGAAGTATATAGGTATGAACAAAGTAAAAAAAATAGGAAAAACTAGTCTGGGTTCAACCACCTTTAACTGCGATAATTTATTAAATATTTGTATTTTGATATTAATATCTTGTAATGACAACAGTAGAAGTGACGGCAGAATTTTTGAAGATGAAACGCTAAAAATAGGTTCCAGACTGTTGTAGCTTATTTTAACATATATTATCGAATTAGTCATAAGGAATGGACTTATGCAAATTAGTAAGGGAACATTTCCATGGTTTACTATAGGCCAGAGAATGTGATGGTGTACAATTGCACCTCAGGTCCTATCAATAGAGTCACGTGGGGAGAGATAGAACGACTTGCTTATCCTTTCATCTTAACACACCCAAGCATGGAGGTCCTCCGGTACCCTGGTGGCAGCTTCAAGACCAACCGTTTACTGAACAGGATCTGTGAGGTCCTGGAACATGAAATACCAGCAAGGATAATTGATTTCTTAGCGAAAGTTCTTGGTTACAAACCTGGGTAAGACCTTTATGATATCTGACATGTTTGTTACATGCTCGAGCCACACCTAATTTAAGTTGTAAACTTTCCTTTATTTGTCGTTTCACGTGATATTAAAACTTGACGTTGAAAGTGTCAGCCAATTCATTAATGAAGATATTTTTAAAAGACAATACTTTTTAGTTAAGATTATTTCTTCCTGCGATATTATCAGGATATTTGACTTTGGGGCTCAATACTCAAGGCTATGAATCTTATTTAAAGTTTATTTGAATTATCAAAGAAAATGACTAACTTCCTAGATTTACACTGCATTTGTGGTGTTACTTAATGATTTTCACAATTATTTTTTTTGTTAGTAAGCTTTGTATGCATATACAAGTTCCCCAACTTTGTATATAAATCACGCAACAAACGTGTAAGTATATTTTGCCCTTTTCAAAACATCTAAGAAAAAATAATCCAATGAAGTAGCATTAGAATTCAGATTCTCTCCTAATTTTAACTTTTTTTCTTTTCATCGAGATAATAAAACAAACTTATCTCCTTCTACCTTGCACTTATTAAAAAATGAGCAACAAATGCTGTCAAAGTAGCTAAAGATCGTATGAGAAAGGTTCAAGTTGTGGCGGACTGTTCCACAGCGGCTCAGTGATAAGCGTGTAGATTATAACGCTAATAATCGGCCTTCGATAACAGCGCAGAAAATTCGATGTCTATCCTTGCGCTTGGATAAAAGCAAACGAAAGTCTGGTCAAATCGAAATTTTAATTTTACTAAAAAATATTAAGAAAGCCACTTTTATTGGTAAACTTTCTGGTTTAACAAATTAAGAAAGCCGCTTTTATTGGTAAAATTTCTGGTTTTATCCTTCTCCAAGAACAAGCTTTGATGGCGATTTCTGTATTTTCGTCAAACTAAAAACAAAAGGCTATGTTCTTCTTCATAAACGGTGTAACATCAGAAGTAGCAGTCAGAGAAGTGTAAAGGATGTTTGATATTTTGTAGTAATTAATAAAGGCAAAAGCACCAAAGAACTGGTCAACAAGAAGTGAAGTCATAGAATTTTCCGATGTAATTTTAAGACGCGGTTTACTAGACAGAAGAATTCAAACACTACTGTCAAGAAAAACATTACCCCATCTTTAGTGCCAGCACGTGAAGGCTTATTTTCTTAACGTATGCAGATGTTAATATCTCTGGACTATTTGTTTAGGAACCCTTGACTGAAAGCAAAGAAGAATATATTATAATATGTCACCCCGACTACATCTATATCCCGTGCCGGCTTTGTTTGTTTTAAAATGTTCGCGCAGACCCATCCCTAATTTTGAACTGATAGTCTAGAGGGCAGACAGTTAGCTAACTGCACCCAAATCCAACTCTCGGATTACTCTTGTCTGACCGAATTGTAGAGATTGACAGTCACTCTCATATCGTACTCACGACCCCAGAGGGCGGTGTTGTTTTCGTGGTTTTAAAATCTAAACCGTTCGTTTTACTGCAGTACGTGCTGTGTTATCACTACCAAAGAATGAAAAGTAGAAAAGTGACTGAATACTTTGGTATATCGAGGATTTTACAAGAATGAAGATTTCACTGTGGGAAATGGAAGTACTTTCCAAGTTATGAGTGATTTCCACTATTATTTTTTTATCAGAAAAAAGTCTCTACACTATGCGAAAGAAAGTATTTTGCGAGCTATTTGTAGTTTTAACTACTATTTTAATAGATGTAAGTCCATTGTCTGAGCTAATCATGCAGCCTTGAATTGGTTTAAATTTTCGAAATCCAGATGTCAAGAAGACCTAAAGATATCCAAAAGTGGTTTCTTCTACAGTTCATCATCCTGGAGAAAACATTGGAGATTCTGATCCGATATCAAAAATGTTTTGTAATGATGTTAGCTGCAGGTCTTGTGAATATCAAGAGTCCTAAATGTACAGTCTCAAATGAGAATGGCTGCGATTCCAAAATTACCTATATAGATTAGCGAAAAACTTACGTAGCTAAAAAAACAAAAACAAAAAACTCTGGGTTGTTTACTCACTATTCGAAAATATTAATTAATTTTAGGCCTCAGTTTGTGAATGAGCAAGATTGGCCTCTAGTAATTTGCTTAAGATCCTAGCAAGATCCATTGATGAACGGAGCCTCCGAGCAAAACAGAACTTAATCATTCACAAGCTGTTACCTGAGATTTATGTTATTGAAACAGCAAACAAACTTCTTTTATTATTACATAACCTTAATTCGTTTCGGCTAATAGCTTTATTATTGGGTCTGTCATTACAATAATAGTAAAGTGAAACAGGAAATCAGTCGTGACAGATATTAGCTTCCTGTAATCCATGGGATATGAGTATTGCTTTAATTAAGTATAATAAAATATTTTGCAGAGTATAGAAGGCGTAAAAAACAGTTGTAGTTGACATAAAGAAATCTCTACAGTCAAAAGCACTTTTTTCTTCACAATATTCCATAGTACGGTACACAGTAGTGTTAAGACACTTTTGGAAAGGAATGGTGAAAGATTACGTAATCTACTACTGAGAAGTAATTATACTTCGCTAAGTCAATAGAAACAACCCCAGTACATTCACGGTCCCACGAGTAATTTGGATCATAAATAGTTTAGAAAAATTTGTTTCAAAACATGAACACTATCGGTAGCTGTAAGGTTAAATTATTATTATATGCTTAATTGTTTCTTTGAAGAAAAAAAAAAACACTGGTAAGAAGTTTAGATTTAATAAAACCACTTAACTTTAAAAACACACTACCAAATATCACGTGTTATCTAAGTCCTTATAAAAACAAGATTATTCTGTAATATTTTATTTAGGTTAGTTCAAGTGTACAACAGACTTCATAGGGCCGTCCACATTCTTGAATACTTCACTACACATGAGTGGACTTTCCACGCGGATAACGTGCTCATGCTCATGAACAAGCTGGAGGGCAAGGACAAAGAAGTAAGTCATTTAAAAATCATCCCAACCATGATTTCTGTACGCTTTTAATTCACGTCAAGTTACTAATTACTGAACATTGTTCAAATGAGGTAAAACACAGGGAATGAAATGTAACCTATGATGTCACCGCTCCCAGCTCATGGTAAGCACGTCTTGTTAATGAACAGGGCTTATTAAAATTATGTAATCCGTAGGGAACGAGTTGTGTGTGATTCATGAAGGCACCACTTCTACCTCACGACAAGCATGTTGTATATTATTTGTTCTGAACATATTTGAAATCTTACTCTGAAAACGTCAGCTTTAGTTAAAGGTAACTTACAGGTGTATCATAATGCAAGTAGGTGAAATATATATCTATGTATTTATAAATATTTATTTTGTCGCATTACTTTCATCACTAAATATCTGTCTCTTCCTAGAAAGAAGTCCACAGAGAAATAACCATTTACTGACACTGAATATGAAATATTCACATTAATGCAGGGTTTATTTTAAGGAAATTTTAGAATTGCGCAAATCTTTGAGGCAGGTGCCATGACCCAGTGTTTGAGATTCTCTGAGTCTGAGAAGCATTTGTTTTCAGATTATATTGTTACGCCTCCGGTCGTTAATTGATTTTCCGTAACTTCGTTCCGACGAAACTTTAGCGACACAAGTCCTTATTTAATAAAACTGGTTTATTCTTTCTGAATATAACTTTACAGATACACTTATTTTCAACAGTCGCTCTATAACAAACGTTTTAACAACGAACGTTAACTTCAACAATACTTTCCGACTGCAGTTCAATTACTCACTACCTACACACATTGTCCGGTCACGTTGTGAGCGTCTTATATATATATACCAGACAAACATATATCTAGTAAATGCTAGGGCATTCACGAAGGAACAAGATATTTCTAAAAAATAGGTAGCGTGACACTAGTCACGTGACCTCGCTGACACAACGATACATTTTTTTCTACAAACTTGCAATGTTTACTAAAACTCAACAAATTTGGAGAAGATACATATACTACACTAAAATAAATAATATTTATAGTTCTATGGTTACAAGGTTGGTCAAAATGACTACACTTGTACAGAGAAGGTTATATTGTGTTGATTCTAATGTCTCAACAGTAAATTTGTATCCCTGCATATCATTAGTATCCTTGTACAGATGAATTGTATTTAAACTATTAATTTTTATTCAGTAGTGGGTAAAGTTTAATGTGATTTT